TCTCACACTAGCGAATAAATCTTCGAAAAATCTTCTTTCATTTCTCGCATCTACTTGCATCGCACAACATATTTTTGCAGGAAATCTTCAAAATCGTGATAAATCTTCTTTCTATCTACTCAGCGTACGCGCAGTTAGCCACAGCAAAACACAATATTTCCTGCATCGTAGATAGAGTCGTCCCCCTCGCAGAAAACCAAGACAAACGCACGAAACAGTTTCTGATTTATGAATGTTAGTCCTGTAGATTCTCACCAGCAGCAGCCCAATCACGACAGATTGCATTTGTCGTTGGAGTTGGAACTATTGCCACCGACAGGAGTTCAACCTTCTACCAACAATCAATACGAAACTAACGATTTAAAATTGGCTTACTACCCAAGCAAACGATTAACGTACCCCATTCTAGTCGAAATTCTACTACTACACAATGTTTGTTTTGATTCGCTATGAATGTTTGACAAATAAAATGAGGGGTTAGTGGATTCTCCTATGTTTCGAGGGGTGAATCGATTAGCTTGTGACCGAAGATAGTACCAGAGCTGAGCCAAAAAGTTGAGCACGTTATTTCGGGACCTTCTAGTCTTAGGCTTACCTCTATATGCTTCTACTGCGGGTAGGATTGCACCCATTGCTTGGTTCTCCTTCGGAGACTGAAAATAGAAACGTAAACAAACTGCCGAATGTCAAAATATCTGCGATAGACAAATTCTGTAGAACAGATGCAGAAACAGAAAAATTTGTCTGTATATTCAGCAAGAATTTGTCAACAGACCATGATCATACTGCCACAGTTCACAGATAATCTGTACACTTTGACGCAGTTCGGCAGTCACAGATATATTGACTGTCTGCAGATAATTGTTAACCGATTACATTAGAAGCCAGATAAACTGTGCAGGTTTCATACAGAGAAACTGGCTAGTCTGATCGTAGCTTACTTACCTTACCAATCAGGCTAAGCCCTTGTTGTCCTCTGCTGTCCGAAGAAGTCGTCTCCGCTCTACTCGATCCATGGCCACACTTCGCCAGCTTCGTAGTCTGCGAAGGGTCCGCTGTCCGCAGGTCGCCTTCTACTTGGTCGATCCACCTTGCCCGCTGTGCGCCCCTTCTTGTTCCTGTTGGGTCGCTTTCTAGAACCATTTTCACTGGGTCGTCGTGCAGCATTCTTACGACGTGCCCAGCCCACCGTAGTCGCCCCATTTTTGCAATGTGAACGATGGATGGTTCTCCCAGCAGCTGGAGCAATTCGTGGTTCATTCGCCTCCTCCACGTTCTGTCATCCATCTACACTCCACCGTAGATGGTACGCAACACCTTCCGTTCGAAAACACCAAGGGCGTTGGTCCTCCACGAGCATAGTCCAGGTCTCGTGGCCGTAGAGAACCACCGGTCTAATCAGTGTCTTGTAGACAGTCAACTTCGTGCGGCGGCGAATTTTATTCGACCGGAGCGTCCTCCGGAGTCCAAAGTAGGCACGATTCCCTGCCATAATGCGTCTTTGAATTTCTCTGCTGGTATCATTTTCGGCGGTCACCAGTGAGCCCAAATACACGAACTCATCGATCACCTCGATTTCGTCACCGTCAATCTGAACTCGGGGTGGGAGGCTAACATTGTCGATGTCATCGGCGAAGCCAAGAAGCTGGATGGACTTCCTGAAGATCGTGTCACTCGTGTCTAACCCAGCTCTTCTGATCACACCTTCTAACGCGATGTTGAATAGCATACACGAAAGTCCATCACCTTTCCGTAACCCCCTTCGAGATATCGGGTATCGAGGGACTCGAGAGTGTCCCCGATACCCGAACAACGCACATCACTCGATCCATCGTCGCCTTGACCAATCGTGTCAGTTTATCCGGAAATCCGTACTCGTGCATAATCTGCCATAGCTGATCACTCCTTCGGTAATATCTCCTCCTCCCAAATCTTGGCATTTACCCAGTGCAGCGCTCTAGCCAGTGCTTCACCACCTATTTTAATAGTTCACTTGGTAGTTGATCTACACCAGTTGCTTTGTTATTCTTCAACCGACCGATCTCCTCCTCAACTTCTTGAAGATCAGGGGCCGGTAGCCTGTAGTCTTCTGCGCGACCTCCAAGGTCTGTTGCCGTGTCACCTTCATTTTCTGTTGCATCACCATTGAGGTGCTCGTCATAGTACACTGCTTTCACCTCTCAATCACCTCACACTCGTTCGTGAGAAGGTTACCGTCCAAGTCCTTGCACATATCGACTTGCGGCACGTAGCCTTTGAGCGAACTATTTAGCTTCTCGTAGAAATTCCGTGTGTCGTTTACGCGGTACAGATTTTCCATCGCCTCGCGATCTCGGTCTTCCTGCTGACGCTTCTTCAAGCTTAACTAACTCTACCCCGTAACGTGGGTAGATCACCTTTTCGTGGTACGTTACGGGATGTAAGATCTACCACCGATTCCTAGTCTTGACTACTTCAAACTAGGGGAACAGGATTTTACAGTAATCAAAGGAACACATCTTAGTTCTTGTTACTTTTTATGCCTTGTTGATAGTGATAAGTCCTCGGGTTGCGTGGACCGAGGATGATCTTGAAACAAGGAAAAAATGAGTTAGTTAGTCTTCACCTATGTGATTCCTAATCTTCTATTCGTTGTTTCCTAGTTTGAAGTGGTTAAGACTAGGGTTCTGATGCATGGTCATTATCGGTGTCATGTCTTGTTTTTTTTGCTAAGGAATCCAATTTTGACTGACTAAGGGGCGCGCCTTTGGAGGGTGTTTCAACATTCCGAAGGGTATAAATAGCGGGACCTTTCAATTAGAATCGATTCCTTGCGATAAAGGCAAGAATGACAACTGTATCAAAACCGAATACTTCATCATTTCTCAATAGTGATGGAGTAATACGACATGCACTAAACTAAGGACACGGGATATACTACAATAGATCAAATTACTGGTCGCAGTGGTTTTATGTCCCGAACAGAGGAAAAAAAAAACTCAATAAATCCTATGCCTCCTACCATGCTTACTTATCTAACTGTCTAGTCATGATACCCTACAATCTCCTCTAAACTTTATAAATTTTATGTCGAATATCTGAATCTCAATTCTTAATCAGTTCTCCAATATCTGCTCCTCGGATAGTGAATCGTGAACCTTGTTCTTGCACCTCAGACAGGCCAGAATTACGCTTCTGCTTCCCAGACGGTGTAGAATCATTTCCCTATCCTTAGATGATCCAGCCAAATGTCGTTGTATTCCAGATAACCTAGAATCACACCTCTGTTGTTCAGATGATCTAGCTTCTGTTGTTGATGTTTATGGATGTATCTTTTTCAAGTGTTTCACGTTCCGTCTGTATTTCTTTCCCGAATTGCATGACCGTATTGTCGTATCACCTCCAGTTTTCCTAATAACTTCGAATTCTTCTGTAGAAAAGTTCGATTGTAAGTTATTGATTTTCTCCATTCTTTTGGCTACAATACGATCCCCAACGGTGATAGCACTTGCTCTAACCAATATTTTCTTATCAGCATAAAATTTCCCTTCTGAACTCATCTCGATCTCCCTTCATATTGTATTTCAACATGTAGAGTTCCAGATAACTTATTCCACATCTTCCAGCCAAACATTAGCTCTGCTGGTGATTTGTAGAATGGTATGTTAGCAAATAATACCACATTTCAATCTCCAGTCTTTACCCAATTTTTGTGCAATTCTTAGCCTTTTCAATAATGACCTGTTATGACGTTCGATTTAACCAAAAACGGTAGATGATCATGATACCATTACGTTCGCATAATTCATGAAACTCCTGTTGTAGGATTTTGGGTATTTCCTGTAATTCAGGATAAGGTTTCAAGAACACAGTTAGATCTTCAACTCACGTTTATTCACTCTCCGCACGTTGCAACACAACCGTTTCTGCTGGTTTTCCTGTCATGTCCAACTAACGCAATCTAACAGCGCTGAGTTTCAGTCAAAGCTTGAGATCAGTTGGCACATACTGTATTGCACTTCGGTGCATCAAAAAGTCATAGTCCTAAACCTTCAATGGTTATTTGACAAATTTCCTCAGACCATGTGTGGCCACCTACCAAATTTCCAACGATGAAACCAACCTTGATTTATGTTGATCTGTAGTTTTTGCATGCTTTGGTCAATCAATACTGTATACGATTCTAACTGCAAAAATAAGGTTTCATTTAGTTGAAATAAAAATTGTATGACTTACCTTACTACATGAATACTTATCTCTATGGAAATCGAGAGATATTTCAGTAGGTAGAATTTTATTCGCCAATGTTTGACCTTGGATTTGGGCCATCATCCACATCAAAGGGCAATTAGCTTATATTGTGTTCTAGTTCAAGGGCACGCATTGAGCCTCCGTGGCGCAATCGGCTAGCGCGTTCGGCTGTTAACCGAAAGGTTGGTGGTTCGAGCCCACCCGGGGGCGGAGAGCCTTTTTGACGATTTTTCCGACTAACTTTGTTTGGATCATCCAAGCTCGGTTATTTTATTTCTTTAAGCTTCTTTTATCAACGTTCCACAAACTGAAGTTCCACGATTTTTCCCGTTTGATTTGATTTGTATTTCTTGCTAAAATTCACAACGATCATAACCAATGATTTGAGTACTCTGAAAGTAATAAGAATGTTCGATGAAGATTGAAACATAACAACACTCATAACAACTTATTCCAATCAGAGATTATAAACAGCCAAATTCACTTCAATCACTCACACTTCTGAAACAGTAGTGGTGAACGCGACGGTTGTAAACAAATCTAAAAATAGTTATCCTCTCCGTATTTTGCTCGCAATATTCTCTCATCCACCCAAGCAGAACGCAATCAAACCAGAACGAGAGGGAGAGAAAACATCCATCCCTTTGTTTACTTCCCGTTTTGCACTTCTCGCGCATCCAATCAGAACGAAACAAAGCTGTCAAAATACCATTCACAAACAAAACTGCCCTTGCACAGAGAGTCAGTCAATCCGAAACTGGTTGCCCTCATCGCGTGATTATACGTATCCTTCCCACCAACCGAACAATGGAAAATGAATACACCCTGGACGAGCTCACCAGCCTGGCGCAGGAAAAGATCGATCTCGGTGGGAAGCTGCTGGAGGATCTGGCCAAGCGGGACACGGTCGACGGAGTGCGAAAAATCTCCAAGAAAATCAGCCAGGAGCTCAAGTTTCTGAACAAGGTAAGTACCACCAGTGCCTTTCACTACGATACACCTTCTGCTAGCCTTGAATTCGGTTAAAACCTTATTCCCGACGCAGGTGAAGAACGCCAAAACGGTATCGATCAACCACATCCTATGCAGCAACTTGACGCACTTCGCCTGCCTGGTGCAGTGTCTGCTCAGCTGCCAGGACGTGACCCATGTGGACTATCCCCTGCCGCTGGAGGACCGTGGCTCCAAGCTGCGGGTGGATATCGTAGCCGACGGGGGAGCAACCTGGATCAAGGTCATTGCGCGTAATCCAAAATCCCTGAACGACGCCGTCCACGGGCGGACCAGCTACGGATCAAAAAGCATCCTAGAACAAGCGGAAGAGTACGTCGAAGCAGCGGAAGCGAATCCCCATATGTTCAAACCACCGAGGGTGGTGTTTCGATTTCTGAGCAAAATCGACGATGAGTTGGTCTTCGAGCTGGAACAAGTTGGAGTAACGGTACTGGTTCTGCAAACTTCCCAACCAGTTCCCCGGACCGAAACGGCCACCGTCACCAAGCTGAACCTGGACATCACAACCATGATAGCTTACGTGAGCGCAATGACGAACGGTTCCGCCAACTGGGAGTACAACGAACCGCTGCTAACGGAACAAGCCCGCTGGGAACGGGAAAAACCGATCAAACCCGTGCTGGACGACCTGTTCGACGGGAAGGAGCTGATCTGCTGCGAAACGGCTGTCTCGTGCTTCAATGAGATCCTTTCGATTTTGGGTGGACCGAAGGAGAAAGCACGAGCCAAGGAACTGTTCGAAAGGGTAACGATACTTCCGGATGTTCCCCTGCCGGACGAGTTGAGCAACATACGGGTGGGAGGAAAAATTAAACCGAGGAGTTTGCAGATTTTTGCCTTTGGATTACAGCACGAAGCGATCACCGTAACGTCCAACGAGGGATTCGTGCGGGCTGCCCGGATGCAGGGCCTGGAAGTTCCGGTCGCTGTGCATGATGCGCGGGCGTTGACCGAGGAAAAGGAACAGGGTGCCCGGCTGCTGGAGGAATGAAGGTGGACCGGAGGGCGGCGGTATTGCAGAAGGATTTTGGTCGTGGACGAAATTGTGATTTTGTAAAAAGGAAACTTTGTGTAAAAATTGTGTTCATATTATGTTCGGTAGGAGTAATAAAAGGATGGCGATGAAAATCAAACGAAAAATGTGGTCCTTACCTTGCACTGAATGTTCGATACACTTCACTAAGACGTTTCTGTCCTGAGTAATTCACCAATTCAGTGCCAACATTTCAAAGGGGCGTAATTGCTTTTGTAAACAATGGCTTTAGACGTCGATTTCTCGCAAATGAAAACCCATCCCTCCAAATTACAAATGCTAGCTGATACAGGAAACATTCCTCTACGTGCTGATGTTATTCATTTTCATGAGTGAGCTTTCATTCGCGAGAAATCGACGACCAAAGCCATTGTTTACAAATGCAATTACGCCCCTTTGAAATGTTGGCACTGAATTTTACAAATTCAGATCGGACAATGAGGAAAATAATTTGGCAAAGGCGCCAAAAACGTGACCATGGCACAGATGCAAAGCTCAGACAAAAATATAATCAAAATTTGAAGATTTCGACACTGAGCATTCATTAGGGCCAATGTCGCATCATGGCTCAACGGAGAAAGGCGAGTTTGGAATCCCTAATAAAAAATAACCATAAACGAACGATAACCCAAATCATTGAACTATTCCACAAATGGTTTGGATGATACCCAGAACACGTCGTTAAGCAAATTAACCATACAATTTTTATTAGGGATTGCGATAGGATTAAAAAAAAAATCATTTTAGCAATGATTTCTTTCCGTGATTGGTATTTAAATGATACTATTCAAGTTATAAATCACTCTAAAGTATTGCTGTTAAAAAGATAAATTCAAACCGGGCTGTTTCCACTGCCGAGTTTTACCATAGGGGTAACTCTAAGACCAGAAGGTCCCGAAGAAACGAGCTTAACTTTTTGGCTCAGCTCGGTCCCAAGCTAATCGATAAACTCCTCGAAACATAGGAAAATCCACTAACCCCTCATTTTATCTGTCAAACTTTCATAGCGAATCAAAACAAACATAGTGTAGCACTGGAATTTATACTAGAATGGGGTACGTTAGTCGATTTGCTTGGGACCAATAGGCTAGTCAAGTAGTGAGCCAATTTAAAATCGTTGTATTGATTGTTTGTTTTACCGCACTGGGCTGCACTGAAAAACAAAACTTCTAGATAGAGCAGGAATTTGGGCGTAACAGCTTTTGTAAACAATGACTTCTATCGATGATTTCTAGGTATTCAAGGCAAGTCCACGTAGCCCAACCTAACTATTGGATAGGGAAAGTCTTTCCCTACCCGATGAGGATGTTGGTTTGCGTGGGCGAGCCTTAAATTTCTAGAAATCATCAAGAGAAGTCATTGTTTACAAAAGCTGTTAGGCCCTAATTCCAGCTCTATCTAAACTTAAGGTTTGAGTTTAAAATGATAAATTTTAAATAAATTAATATTAGTTAAGTGTTAAAATGTACGTATGTACTTTGATATCACATTTTATACTTTTAATAGATTAACCAGGGGGACTCTATTCCTGTAACATGCATCATGTTACTGTGTATTGTTCTCAAAGTTCTGTGCAAAGTTATCCTGAATCGGATACAGGAGAAGATCGACGTGACTCTCCGACGGCAGCAGGCAGGATTCCGTGCCGGAAGATCTTGTGTGGACCATATTGTCACGCTCCGCATCATCCTGTAGCAGGTCAATGAATCCCAAGAGTCCCTTTATTTGGTATTCATTGACTACGAAAAAGCTTTCGACCGTCTCAATCACGAGAATCTGTGGGACGCCCTGAGACGCAAGGGAGTCCCGGCTAAAATCGTCAACCTCATCGAAGCGCAGTATGAGGCTTTCACGTGCAGAGTTCTGCATAACGGAGCCTTGTCCGACCCTATCCGGGTAGTCGCTGGTGTGAGACAAGGATGTATACTATCACCGCTACTGTTTCTCATCGTAATCGACGAGATCATGGTAGGTGCAATTGACCGTGTACCGAACCCAGCCGTGGCTGCTTTGGCAGCCTATCACCATGGAGCATCTCAACGACTTCGATTTGGCTGATGATGTTACTCTACTAGCACAACGGCGCTCTGATATGCAGAGTAAGCTCAATGACCTAGCCGAACGCTCCTCTGCGGCGGGTCTCACCATCAACGTCAACAAGACCAAATCGTTGGATATCAACACGGGCAACCCTTCCAACTTTACGGTACCGGGGCAAGCAGTGGAGAAGGTCGAAGGTTTCCAATATCTTGGCAGCCAAATAGCGTCGGACGGCGGGACCAAGAGCGACATAGGTGCACGAATCAAGAAGGCTAGGGCTGCCTTTGCGAGTTTACGAAACGTATGGAGATCCAACCAGATAAGTCAACGCACCAAAATCCGAATTTTCAACTCGAACGTGAAATCTGTGTTGTTATACGCCAGCGAGACGTGGTGTGTATCAGCGGAGAACACTCAAAAGCTGCAGGTCTTCATCAACCGATGCCTGCGGTATATAATTCGTGCCTGGTGGCCTCACAACTGGATCTCGAATGCCGAGCTCCATCGTCGATATCATCAGAAGCCGATAGCAACAGAAATTCGAGAGCGAAAGTGGAGGTGGGTCGGCCACACACTTCGACGGGGCGGAAACGAAATCTGCAAGCAAGCGCTGGATTGGAATCCGGCAGGACATCGCAGCAGAGGTAGACCCAGGGGCTCATGGCGGCGGAGCCTCAATAAGGAAATTAAGCAAGTCGATAGGAATCTGACCTGGGCCCAGGTCAAGGCAAAAGCGAGCAGCCGCCCAGGATGGAAGTCTTTCACGTTGGCCCTTTGCACCGCTGGTGGTGCACAGGACCCTTAAGTTAAGTAAGTACTCTATTCCTGTCTGACGAGAATAAAAGTCCAATACGTATGCACGCAGTGATAGTTATATTTAGAATAAAAGAAAGATCAAGAGCAATACAATTCAAGGTTGGAAGCTGACACTTGTTAAAACACTGTTAACCACAACAACTCAAGTTAAGGGTAAATATTACGCCTTTGCCTGTTTCACAACACCCCCTCGCAGACCAAGCGTGAAACGGTGTTCTTTGAACGGCCCAGCCGGAAGGCTCTTCGTAAACACATCAGCAACCTGCCTCTGCGTTGGTACGTACTCCACTCTTATCTGGTGGCCTTGGATACATTTCCGGATGAAATGGTAGCGTATATCCAGGTGCTTCAGTCTCTTCTGGTCACAAGGTTCATTGGCAATATGGATACACGATCTCGGGTTCTAACTCTTCCGGTCGCTATTAGATCGTTGTTTTTCACATCATGAAAGGCTAGGTTTCTGGTCTGCCTTTGAGGGCATTATAGAACCCTAAAACACAGGACTTTTATTATCCTATGAACACAAAACACCAAAATTTAGCACACCCGCCACTTCCCGCGTCATCTTCAATTCGGTTTATCAACAAGGTGTCAGAAATACCGGGTTGCCTGGATGGATATTTTACAAACAATCGCAGCTTGCTCTATGAATGGCACAATCGGCACACTTACAAAAAAGATGACCCAAGACTGGTATGAGGAGTGACCTACCCCTTGGATTTTTCGGTTATGTTCTCGATTACCGAAAACATTACAGACCGTTCAGCAGTTCGGTAGGTAAACGCGAGGGTAAACGAATTACCGAAGTCGGTAATTTTTTCTAAGTGTGTAGCGAGGTTTTAAGCGCGATGGCTAGTTCATCTCTTTTCAAAGTGTTTTTTTTTTAACTTTATACCTACGTGAAGTTTGTAGGCCGAGGTGGACAGGTTCAACAGTGGATCTACGTCGGCTGAAAAGAATAACCCGGAACGGACACGAAATACTTTCGAAAGAGAAAAACACGCGGTTGCAAAGTTACACGTTTTATTCAAGAATGGAAATCAAAAAACAACAGGGTAACTATTGGTGATGAGCGCCAAGGTTATTATAATGATATGCGCTACCAAGATACATATAGTAACGAGGGGTGCACCGATGTAGTTCATCACTCCTCCTCAGCGGTGGCCCCTCGACTGCCGTGAAGATCAATTAGAGTTGCGAAGCCATTGTGCTTCACATTCCCCAATGGTTTGGGGAATTTTCGGATTGCACGAAGGCCAGACATCCTTGATTATCTTCGTGTACTGTGGTGGCCTTCCGTTGTTTCTCGCCTAAGTCCTCGAGCAATCTCTCTCTCTCCTAGTGCCACGTACTCTGCCTCCATGGACGAGAGGCTCACGCAGTCCTGACGCCGGCTCGTCCAGGAGACGGCTCCTCCTGCGAAGAAAACAACGACCAGTCATCGACTTTCGCGTTCCTGGATCTCCTGCGCAGTCAGAGTCCGAATAAGCTTCAAGGTCACCGTTTGTGATCCACCGAGTTTCAATTTCCAATCAACTGTCCACTTCAGATAGCGGAGCACCCGCTTTGCTGTTGTCCAGTGTCTTTCAGTCGGACCGCTGAATTTTCGTCCTAAAATCGCAGCACTGGCGGCAATATCTGGCCGTGCGCAAACAGCGATGTACATCAGGGCACCAACGAGACTACGCTACATGGTGATATCCTTCATCGCTTCACTCTGGCTGGTGTCTTTGAGGTATCCTTGATCCATAGGACTTCGCGCCACTTTGGCATTCTCCATGCCAAACTCCGAGATCAATTTCTTAATGTACGACTGAACACTTAAGCTGTATACTCCCTCCACGTCCTTCGTAACCTCCAAGCCCAAAAAATGCTTGACTTCACCAAGACAGTAGATATCGAAGTATTTCTTAAGCTCCTCCTCGTTAGCGCAACCGACTAATATGTCATCAACATAGACGATCAGATAAACGGTAGATCCATTTCTCATAGCAGTATACAGGCACGGATCGGCGGAGCTGGCTACGAAACCTATTCCCTTCAAAACTTCGGACAATTTCTTGTTCCAACACCTCGCTGACTGGTGGAGGCCGTAAATACTCCGACGTAAGCGGCATACCTTCTCCTCCTGTTCGCGGACCACGTAGCCAGCGACTCCTGTACGGACGTCCAGGTGCTTAAGAATCATCTTATCCCTGCCTGCTAGGGCAAGCAGTGTCCTCAAAGCGGTGTGACGGATCACCGGAGCAAACACTTCACTGAAGTCCACTCCGAAACGCTGCGTATGCCCTTGTGCCACGACTCGCGCCTTGAATTGTACCACTTGTCCAGACTCGTTCACCTTTACCTTATATACCCAGCGACTCCCGATCACCTTCTTCCTGGGTGGTAGTTGTACCAACTCCCAGGTACCGTTGTCTTTATGCGACGACATTTCATCATCCATTGCTTCTTTCCACAAATCACGCTCCGGACACTTCATCGCTACGTTGTATGTTGCTGGCTCCGTTAACGCATGAGTGGCAACTCCTACCTCAAGATCGTTGTATCTGTCAGGTAACTTGTTACGGGTTTTACGGACACCTTGGCTACTCAATTCGCCCTGATGGTCTCCTTCGGGCTCTTGTTTCATATCTAGGGGGTCATCCAGAGAAGGAGTGGAGCTCAAATCGAAGAACTGCTCGCATTCGCTTTGATCCATGGGGTCGTGGGATGCTTCATCCTCGCTTTCGGCATCGCTATCGTCCATCAGATCCGGCACCAGCTCGGCCACCGATTGCCAATCACGTCCACCATCCTTACCAGCAAGCCACTCTATCCCATCAGTCATTGAATCAGTTTCCAAGTCACCCTGAGACAAACTGTCAAACTCCAAAAACTTAGCGTCACGGCTAATACTGACTTTTTCCGTCGCTAAATCAACGAACTGATATCCCTTATGCTGTTCGGAGTAGCCTATGAATGTGAGTTTCTGCGCTTTACTATCAAATTTCCCACGCTTCACATCCGGGATGTGAACCCTCGTCTGTGACCCGTAAACCCTCATGTGCTTAACGTCAGGTTTCCTCCCATACCACTTCTCAAAAGGTGCTGTGTCCACTGAGCGTGAGGGCAACCTGTTCTGCAGGTAGGTGGCAGCCAGTACAGCTTCACCCCAGTATTTTTTGTCAAGTTTCGCATCGAGCAACATTGTTGTAGCCATCTCCTGTAGGTACCTATTGCGCCTTTCGGCCACGCCATTCTGTTGTGGCGTATAGGGGGTGGTGAACTGGGCTCTGATCCCCTCCTTCGCAAAGAATGTTTGAAGCTTCTTATTATCATACTCGCCGCCTCCGTCAGAGCGGATAACTCACGGCTTTCTACCAAACAAATTTTGCACGTACCTGACATACTCGATGATCTTGTCGGCAGCATCCGACTTCCGGGCGAGGAGATACACGACTGCATACCTGCTAAAGTCATCTATGGCTGTCATCAGGAAGCGGTTGCCGCTGGGTGTTGCAGTTTTCATTGGCCCACACAAATCTGTGTGCACCACATTCAGAATTTGCGTAGACACTCGTTCGACTGCTCTGGGGATCGGCGTCCGCGACAGCTTCCCCTCCAAACACGTTTCGCAGGTCAACCTGATTCCGCAATCCTTCAGCGTCATCCCTGCCACCAGATTCTCTCTATTCATTCTATCAACACTCGACGGATCACGATGTCCCAATCGGCGGTGCCACTGGTGCTGACACAGTTCATTGTGCTGCTTGGTTTCACTCTTCATCACTGTTTCCACCGTTTTCAGGTGATAAAGCTACCAAATCGGATGCCTTTCACCTTCACTGTACCCGACAGATCACAAATGTCACAATCGTCTTTTCTAAAGATCACCACAAAGTCCTTAGCAGCCAGCTTTACCACCGAAAGCAAACAGCTGTTCAACGACGGTACAAACAACACTTCCGAGAATTTTATATCCACTGTATTTCCGCAACCATCTACGCCGGTCACCACACCAGTACCACATCCTACCGATTGCACTACAGTTCCGTCCGCGAGAATCCGGAGCGCTCTCTTCGCTGAGCGTGGTGAATACACTTCTGTCGTTGCACATATGGCTGAAAGCGAGGCTGAAAGCACCGCTGTCCACAACCCAGCAACTTTGCCTCTTCTCTCCGGCCATAAAAAAAACAGCACTGGAACTCTTCTCAGTCTCAGTGGCCTGCTTGGCCTTCGGGCGATCACCCTGGCGATACCTATGTCTTCTTGCTTTCATCTCGCTTGTCTTTATCATTTTTGTTCTTCAGGGCCTGAAACCGCAAACAATCTTGCTTCATGTGGCCCAACCTTCTTACAAAAAAAGGCACACAATCTCGGATTTGTCTTTCACTGCACCATGCAACTTCACGCTGCTCTTCAACGCCTTTGCGTCACCGGATGATCTTCCTTACCGCTCCTTTCTGCGCTCGTACTCGTCCAAGAGTTTGGACCGGACCAGCTCAACGGTCATATCTTCATCTGGCCTGCCTTCAAGCGCTGTCACCAGACTGCTGGCAAACTCCTAATCATAGCGATTTTCAGCTGATTTTCCAAATCCTGCCCGGCGTTCTCCAATCGCTCGAAGAGATCATCCAATGCGAATAAGTGCGCTTCCAAATCACCTCCTTCTCGTAAGTTCAAGTTGCACAACTTTTTGAGAAGGGACACCCTAGAAGTCACGGTGACTTTTTCGTGATACTTCTGTAAATTGACCCAGAACTCTCGGGCTGACTGTGCTGTCTTTATGAGGCTGTATTGGTTGTCCTCAATGCACAACACCATAGTTGCGCGCGCCTTTTTATCATCCTTGGTCCATTGGGCCGTTACAGGCTCCGGATTGACACCATCGATGACGTAGAACAGCTCCTCCCTGGTCAGGAGCATCTCCATCCTGAATTTCCAGGACTGCCAGTTTTGATTGCTCAGCTTCGAAAACTTGCTGATTGTTAATTATTTCTTTCGCTTATTTCCAACTGTTACTTTTCCACCAGTGCAGTTGAGGTATTTTCCATCAATCCTCCCATCGCCATTTACACCGTAACGCCTACCCTCCCGTTCTGCCGGTGTCGACCACGATGTCGGCACCGCGCCTGGGTAGGCGTAGATGAACAAGCAAAATTTGACACAAGCAAGCCGTCGGTCGACGGTGTAATTGGGCAAAGCTCCGCCGCGGCGACCACCGCAGAAGAACGAAAGTACTCGACCGACAATTGAAAAAGGCCTATCGGCTTGTGTACACAATTATTTGCAATCCCTTTCCTCGTAAACCTAAGGCCGCCCACGCAAATAAAAAGCACCATCTCATAGAAAAAACTTTCCCCTACCCTATGGAGCTTTTGGTTGGCGTGAGCAGCATTTTGTTTGCGAGGAAAGAGCTTTCAAAGTTTTGTTTACAAAAGCTGATAGGCCATTTTCAATTATTCGCCGAGAGTAGAGAAAACAGCGAATCTGTGTGACTGCAAGCAAAGGAAAAAAAGAAGTTTATCGAATGGTGTGTGCGGTCGCGTTTGATTAAAAGTGGTTTTTTACCATCGAAATTGCCGGAAAATTGCAGGAAAGCTAAGCTCGAGCCTTTGTTCCACCGGTGCGGATTGGTTTGCTCGATTCTGTGAGCGGTTCGCTTGTGAAATTCCCCCTCGAATTGTGCGGCGTTCGCGGATCGCGTAGAATCTCTTTTCTCGACGCGTTTCTGACGGACTGTGCACCTTTCTCCGTGTCGGTTCGTGTTTTTGTATTATGCTGTGAAAAAACACCGGCGCCCTCGGTTAGCTAGCTTCCTGGCGGTGCGGTGCTGGAACGCGACAACCCACGAGTACCGGAAATTTCCGATTCCATTTTCAAAGAGCAACGTTTTTCCGAACTGATTGGAATTAATTGCCTGTCGGGTAGCCAAGATGGTGAGAATTCATCCGGAACTTTCGGGCCCCGGAAAGTGTCACTGATTTACGCTTGATTTTCTTGATTTTCAGGATGTTCAACAGTTAGAGCTGCTGTGCAAACAATTCTACGAATCCCAGGATGCACAAGCTCGAGCCGAAGCCGAGAAGGCGCTGTACCTGTTTCAGGAAGATCCGGATGCCCTCCCAAAGTGCCAGCAGTTGTTGGACCGTAGCAATTCGGCCTACTCGCAACTGTTGGCCGCAACCACTCTGACCAAGTTGGTTTCGAAGAACATCCAAGCGCTGAGCCTGCAGCAACGAGTTGATATTCGGAACTACATTCTAAATTATCTGGCAACGCATCCTAATCTGCAGTCGTTTGTGATTCAGGCCCTAATTGCGCTGCTGGTCAAGATTACCAAACTGTGCTGGGTGGATTTGTACGAGGATGAGTACATTTTCCGAAACATCGTTCAGGATGTGAAGGAATTTTTGGGAGGATCCGTGGAGCATTGTATGATAGGCGTCCAGATCCTGTCTCAGCTGACGGTGGAAATGAATCAACTGGCGGAAACGGCATGCAATCTTACCTTCACCAAACATCGAAAGATTGCCTGTCTCTATCGGGACTCCCAGCTGTACGATATCTTTATCCTGGCCTGTACCTTGCTCAGTCAGGCTAAGGATAACTGCTGCCAGAAGCCCAACTACTTGGACGAAGCACAGCATGGGCTGTTCACGCATTTGCTCAACCTGGCCAGGAACTGTCTGAGCTTTGATTTCGTGGGTACCTCTGCCGACGAGTCCGCTGACGACATGTCCACTGTCCACATCCCCACCAATTGGCGTCCGGCGTTCCTGGAATCCGACTCCGTGAAATTGTTTTTTGATCTCTACCACGTCCTCCCGGCACGCCTATCCAGTTTGGCTCTGTCCTGTCTGGTTCAGATTACCTCCATCCGACGATCCATCTTCAACAATGCCGAGCGCATTAAATTTCTCGCCAAACTCGTGAAAGGCGCCACCGACATCCTGAAGACCTCGCACGGTCTCAGCGATCCGGAAAATTACCACGAATTCTGCCGCCTTCTAGCCCGACTTAAATCCAACTTCCAGCTCGGAGAACTCGTCATCGTGGAAAACTACGCCGAAGCAATCCAGCTGATCGCCAAATTCACCGTTCAATCGCTACAGATGTGGCAATTCGCCCCGAACAGCATACACTATCTTCTCTCGCTTTGGCAGCGCCTGATCGCTTCCCTGCCGTATGTAAAATCCTCCGAACCTCACTACCTAGATACGTACACCCCGGAGGTCACGAAAGCGTACGTCACCTCCAAGTTGGAATCGGTTCCGGTGATTCTGCGCGAAGGTCTGGAAGATCCCTTGGACGACACCGGTATGGTTCAGCAGCAGCTGGAGCAGTTCTCCACCATCGGCCGGTGCGAGTACGAAAAGACGTGTGCCCTGTTGATTCAGCTGTTCGACCAAACGGCCGGTCGCTACCAGGAGATTCTGTCCTCGCCGACGACCGCCAACCATCTGGACGTGCAGATCTGCGAGGGTCAGCTGACGTGGCTGGTGTACATCATCGGCGCTGCCATTAGTGGACGTATTTCCTACTCCCACGACGATCACGATCTACTGGATGGCGACATGATCATCCGGGTGTTGCAGCTGATGACGTTGACCGATTCCCGGTTGCCACAGTGCGGTTGCGAGAAGCTAGAATTCGCCATCATGTGCTTCCTGGAGCAGGTCCGGAAGGTCTATATCAACGAGCACCTGCAGAAGCTGAAGATGTTCAAGCGCCTGAGCGAAGTGCTGGGGGTGAACGACGAAACCACGCTGCTCACCGTCATCAGCCGGAAGATGTAGGCTTCTTGGCCGGGATTGGGAATGTTGCGGAAAGTTAATAGCGTTTTTTTTTTTTTGTTCTTACAGAATTACCAATCTGAAGTACTTTGGCCACTCGGAGCAGATCATCCGGAAAACGCTGACACTGCTGAACGATCTAACGCTGACGTTCAGTTCCATTCGGCGGTTGATCAAACTGGACGAGATTCAATTTATGCTGAACAATCACACGGTAATTGCGGGGACTTTTTTGTTGTTGTTGTTGTTGGTTCAAATGTTTCTCTCGTGTTAGTTTTAATTTTTATGATGCAAGGCTTTTTTGGGAACTTTGTCGATGAAGCTTGCTCATACATTTCTCTAATTTAGAATACAGAGAATAGGTTTCGCGAGTGGGATTCCTTCAAAATGGAATTCCTCAAGCCATAGGGTGTCCCTGAATTTCTAAGCACGACTTTGGAACATCCCTGCTTGTTTCAGATGACGTTTAAGCAGCTGATTATCATGATGAATCATTGTTTACATTTAGACCAGCCGTTTCGTGTATCGCAAGTGTCGGTGCTTTACATTTCCGTGACAATGCGGAAAAGCGCAAACAGATCGTGCACAAATGGTGTACTATCCCTAACATTTCTCTGAGTCAATTAGCGAAATTGGAAGGCGATTCGGAAGTATGGTTGAAGAAGCAACTTTCCACGACAAGTAAAAATGGGGACGTAAACCGAACCCTGTTGACCGAAATCTGGACCGGAAAATCTAGCAAGAAAAGCGCTTCGGTTCGAGACGTGGCTTAACAAGTATATGAAGCAGAAGAAGCCAAAGCGGAGTGAAAAACAAGCCGCATCCGTCAAACCGAGGGCTCGGAAGTTATACGACCAATTGCTGTGCGGAAAATCGGTGTGCGTGATTATGGACGATGAATCATGCGTCAAATTTGATTACAAAACTCTTCCTGGTGATCAGTACTACACCGTTCGTGATGGCCGAAGTGTTGACGACGCGGATAAGTCGATTTTAAACGTAAAATTCGGTAAATAGGCTATGGTTTGGCAAGCCATTTGTGAGTGTGGTATGCCGTTTGTGAAATGGACAACCGATGTTTATGTGCGTGAGTGTTTAAACAAGCGTCTGTTACCCATGATCCGCAAACAGGCCAGTACTGTTTTGGCCGGATTTGGCGTCGGTTCATTACTCCAAGGACACGGTAGCCTGGTATAAAGCCAACAAGGTCCAATTCGTAGACTGTTCTCATATCCAAACTGTCCCCAGGCCAGGCCAATCGAAACTTTTTGGGCCCTGACCAAAGCATATTTGCAGAAACATGTAAAGGCAGCGGATTCCGTTACAAAGTTTGCGAAAGACTGGGAAAAAGTATCCAACATTGTTGGAAAGGTATCAGTGCTGAAGCTGAAGGTCAAAAATCCGCTCCTTGGCTTACGACTGATTGGATGTTAGATTTTCTACGTTAAATTGTAAGAGAATACTATGGAGAACATAAATACGAATCAAAAATCGAATTTGCTGTAAACAGAGTTACGTTATCGTTTTTTTTTAAATCGTGCTTAGACATTATGGGACACCCTATATCCAATCCAGGTAGCTACACCAAGGAAAAATATCGTAAGAATTCCATCTATGAATTTGCCTTATGAAAAATTATGTCGTCAAAAAATAATTAAACGGAGCAGACTGGAACCGTACGTTGAGACTACGGGTCCTGTGTATCTATTGAATAACACAGTAGTCTGTGATAATCCGTGTCAATGTTTCGTGACGTGTTTCAATTGTACTCTACAATCTCCCTAATCGGAAGATTCAGAAGATTTTTTCATTGAAGCAGCAGTATGTCCACAAGTGGAAGTTCGGGATCCGGACAGCAAGGTCAAGGAAATGGAGATGGCAATGGAAGAGGCAGGACTGAAGCTGGAAGCGTTCGAGTCAGAAGTTCCGTTGCGCTGCCAGTCATCGAAAAGCTGAAGGGAAGAGAGAATTATTCGACGTGGGCATTTGCGATGCGGCTGATTCTGATCCGTGAAGGAAGCTGGTATGCCATTGACGGAGACGGTGAAGATGTTCCTGAGGACGTGAAGTTGCAGGATTCTCTTGCAACGATCTGCCTAATTCTGGAGAGCTACAACTACAGCCTGGTTCAGGATGCGGAAACTGCGAAGGAAGCTTGGACGAAGCTGCAATATGCATTCCAGGACAGCGGATTAACCAGGTAAATTGGGCTGCTAGCGTTGAGCACAAGTCACAAGCTCGCATCTGTGGGATTCAAGGTGGACGATTCTTGGTTCGCGACGATTCTGTTGATGGGACTTCCTGAGTACGAACCCATTATCATGGGTCTCGAAGCTTCCGGTACGGCCTTGACAGCGGATGCAGTGAAGGCTAAAATTTTACAGGAGGTAAAATTGGATCGCGGTCCGTTCAGCAGCAGCACTAGAAGGTGCCCTGTACAGCAAAACGAGCCGAAAGAAGTCCGGCGAGCTAAAGGACGGTAACAAAGGTAAGAGGCTGTGCTACAACTGTGAGAAACCGGGGCACGTTGCAGCTAAATGTCCCAATGCCAAAAAGTCGTCTTTGAAGCCAAGCAATTCAAAAGGATTGTGCTGTATTTTCACTATTGGAGATGTAAGGACCAATTAGTGGTATCTGGATTCCGGTGCCACCAAGCACATGGCACGTTCGGATCAACCTTTCGTCAACGCGGTTTCCATGGATCATGACGTTGGAACAGCAAACAACAGCAACATGAAGGCCGTCGCAAAGGAAACGGTTTCCGTGGAAACTGCAGAAGGAAGCGTGGAAGTTGCTAATGTGTTGAAAATTCCGGACCTAGCAACCAACCTGTTATCGGTCAGCACCATCCGTAAGCGAGGAAACAAGGTAGTATTCACGGCGAACAAGTGCGAATTCTGGAATGAAAGCGGCGAGCTTGTCATTACCGGAGTTGAAAAAGGCGGTCTCTATCGTGTCAGTCGGCCGGAAAATCGTTTCAGGTTAACAGCATCGAGTTGTGACATAGACGTCTTGGCCATTTAAATGAAGGAAGCTTGAAGAAACTCAAGGAAGTGGCGAAAGCCATCATCAACTCACGCCTAACCTACGGAATCGAAGCTACGTTCCTTGCCAAGCCCCGATTGATCGAAAAGTTAGCGCCGGTCTATCAACAATCTCTCCGAATCTGTTCGGGTCTTTTGTCAGGTACCCCCGGAATAGCTGCTGGCATCGAAGAAGGACAGCTCCCCTTTGATCGCTTCATCTCCAAAACTATCTGCCAACGAGCCATCGGACTTTACCAGCAGACTTCAGGAGACGACAAGGAAGATTCCCTCCTCACGGAGGCGAACAATTCACTCAGGGAAGCATCCAACCCGACTCTCCCCCCAATATCCAAGGTTTACTGGGTCGGAGCGAGGGGTTGGAACATGCCGAAGATTCTGACCGACCACACAATCAAATACCAATTCAGAGCTGCTGCCAATCCTTCAGCGGTGGCACAAGCGGTACTCAAACTCCAGAACCGGATGGCTCGGTAGCCCAGGGAAAGGTAGGAATCGGGATTTTCAGTCCAAACCTCGCGGAATGCCATAGACTCCCGGATCAGTGCTCCATTTTCTCTGCGGAAGCCATTGCCGCCTTCATTGCAGCCACCATTCCCGACGACCGACCAATAGCCATCTTCACCGACTCCGCTAGTGTGTTAGCCGCACTGGAATCCGATACGAGCAAACACCCTTGGATCCAGGCTATACAGGAACACGCGCCAAACAACACAGTCTTTGTGTGGATACCTGAACACTGCGGGGTTCATCGTAACGTAAAAGCGGACCAACTAGCCAACTCAGGTCGTAGTATGGCCAAGTACACGCGAATTGTACCTGGTCCGGACCTCAAAAAATGGGTATCAAAAATCACCAACGAAGGTTGGGTTCGCGATTGGGCGGCCAGTGAAACCCCTGCCATCAGAAAAATTAAAAGAGACATCTCCAGGTGGGCGGACCCACCGATACATCGAGAGCAGTATCCCGACTTCGAACACATCATACAAACATCTCCCACAACTACAAGGGAGACGGACCTTTCCATAGGATCTGTGATCATGCCGAATTCCTCAAACGGTGGATCACATTATCTGCCACTGTCCGAAATACGAAGCACCAAGAACCCGCTACGACATCCCGGGAAGCTGAGCTGTTCGATCTAATCTGATCACCTAACTCACCATCATCATCATCACCACCATACCAGATCACACTCGGAACCAGAATCTCACAACCAACCACCCACATCAGCAACTATACAGACCAACGCAACGAAAACGGAATTCTCCAACAAAATGACAGTATTAAGACAGCCACTAAGCAACTAATGGACCCTTTTCGGAGGTTCCCTTCCAATGCCACCAAATTAAAAACTCCGTAGCTAAAAACTCTGTTTCCGGGGCCCCACGCGCTTTTTCGGAAATCCCCTCTGGGATCCAAACTATGTTGTTAGGGTAATTTCCCTCTGGAATTCCCACCCCCCTCAAATAGGGGATTCCCCATCTGGGATTCCCAGAGACGAACCAGCCCAAGGCTGAAAGTCTCTTTAATAAAGAAAGAAAAAAAAAACTCAAGGAAGTGGCTTACCAATTGTGTGTCGTGTCTCACAGGCAAACAGGCACGATTTTCGTTTCCCACCAGTGGTTCAAGAGCGAAGGAATTACTAGAGCTGGTGCACTCCGACCTGTGCGGCCCCGTGGAGTTGCCATCGTTTGGAAGAAGTCGCTACTTTATTACCTTCGTGGATGATGCCAGTAAGAAGGTAGTAGTGTTCTTTCTTGAAAGGAAAAATCAGGTGCTTGAAGCATTCAAGAAATTCAAAGCTAGAGCCGAGAGGCAAAGCCGGAAGAAGCTGAAGATTTGGCGTACTGACAATGGGACGGAGTACGTCAACGAACGTTTCCGTGAAGTTCTGGAACGTGAAGGTATCCGGCATCAAACCACGAGTCCGTATACGCCTGAACAGAATGGTGTTGCAGAACGCATGGATCCGAAAGTGAAGCGGAAGAAGTTCGATACCAAAGGCTACCGTTTGTACGATCCTGACAGCGGTGAGTTTCAAATCAGTCGAGATGTTGTAGTCCTAGCAGAAGGTGAATAAAGTCCAAGCCTAACGAGTGATCAAAATGCACAACCAGTGGAGTTCATGGAGCTGAATTTCCAAGAGCTGTTGGTACCAATCAGCGCT